TAATATAAGTGGTCTATGGTCAAAATATCGCAACTCAATTCAACTACTAACCCATTCAACTAATAATTGCTTTAACCGGTCAAATCATTCAAAAATCTCGTTCGTCTACCAAACAAACTCTAAAAAATTTCCCGACCCGCACCTTAAGCCTCAAAACAACGCAACGAATTTTATAAAATTTAATTCATTATTTTATCACATTTATATCAAAAGCTCAAAAAATTCGCTTCAAGCTCGAAAATCCCAATAAGTTAAAAATCGCTCAAATCACCCATTTCATTAATTTTATATCACCTCATTAAACAAATCTAAGCTCATGGAATCGGGCTCGAATCGGAGGTCGAAAAGTCGAAAAACTAAAGAAAAAGGATCGGTAAAGCGAAACCGGGCCAGCGCTGCTCAAACGGGTGGAACCGAGTGCTGTTCGGGTCGAACCGAGAAAGATTCTGGAGCGAGTCAACTCGGTCCGAGTTGAATGGATCTGAAATGACCGAGTTGAGCGAGTTGACTCGCTGAGTTGCGGATTTGGCGAGTTGGAGAAGCTGGTCACTCGAATCATGCGTGGAGGGTTGAGAGTGGTGCAGCTGGTCGCAGGGTTTCGCCGGTACGGACGGGACGAGCGTTGAACCGGGTCGTTGGGGCATATACGGTCGCGGGGTGGTGCAGCGGCGTACGGACGCAGCGCTGCTGGTGTACAAGCGTGAACGGAGTTGCTCGAACGGATGCGTACGGACGCGAGCTTCGCTGGGATAGGGTCGACGAGAGTGGATTTGGGTCGTATAGGCGTGAACGGTGCTTGCACGTGACGAGCGTACGACGTGGACCTAGGCTCGCGTGAACCAGTGCAGTGTGTACAGACAACGACGCGAGGCCGATCTAGGGACGGCGGGCTGAGCTCGTTCGACGCCGTGAGAAGCTGGAATGGTCGGCTTGGACGCGGGTTGAGGTTGGTCCTGCCGTAACTCGGTCACGGTGGTTGGAAAACGTGAAGAGCTCGCTGGATTTTATGTAGATTGATGTGATGGTGTTCTTGATGTTCTTGCTAAGGGAAGGAGATGAGAATAGTGTTTGGTGGGCAAAAATGCATTTTTAGTCTTGTTGGTTTGACATCATAGTAATTTTGGTCACAGTGTTTCAACTGTTTGCCTTTTAGTCCTATGATTTACTATTTTGCTGCAATCTCAATCCTTTGAGGACTGAAACTGCAGCGAAATTTTAAACAACAGGACTGAAATTTCCACAAAATTTTCAATTACAGGACTTAAATTGGTCATAAAAAATCTATAAATTAAGAAATTTGTTGCAATCAGCAAAATATTAAATCGCAGGACCAAAAAGCAAAATGTTAAAATTTTGGGACTAAAAATGTTATGACGTTAAACCAACATAACTAAAAATTCAATCTAGTCGTTTTTGGTGGCTAGGGTTTGAATGGAAATGGTGTGTTGGGAAATGAAGATATGAGCTATTTATACACCTGTGGAAGACTAGGGTTTGTGTATCTTGTTGGGCCAAGAAATCGGGCTTAAAATTCCTACAATTGGGCTAGTAATATAAATCGACTTGGGTCCGATTAAATCGAATATTGACTTAGGAAATATTAAGTGGTCGGCTAAAATTAATCGAACTCGGAGTCGGCTAAAATTAATCGAACTCGGACTAAATAAATTAGTCGGTCGAATTTACTAGAATAACTTAGCTCGGATTTAAAAATCGACTATAGGCTCGATTACCTTAAATGGGCCAACTAAAATAACTGGACCCGCTCGAAAACGATTAGGTTCGAATACATTAATTATTCGGGCTTCGGTGCGCTTTAATATAATTTCGATAATTCTAAGGCTCGGTTTTAAAAATATAACCGATATTTGGGCTAAACAAATATGACTTTAATAATTAAAATCAAATAAATTCTCCATGACTTAGACTTTAAAAGACCTGTGAACACCTATCTTAGAGGTCGATGTAAACAATTACTCAAGTTAATGCAAATAATAATAATAAATGCATCAAATTAGGAAACTTAATAATTATGAAAATAAAGTCGAGCTCCACAAATAGTAAATAATATTTTGGGCATTACAATTGATGTAGGAAGCGTGCCAATGGAAAGCATAAACGAGATACTCTCTCGTAAAACACACAAAACTCATAATATCTGATTCAATCTCAAAATTTACCACCGAATAACTGTGTATTGTGTTTTTGTGCTTATTTTTGTGTGTTTTATGTGCTCGAGTTTAGTGTTTTTAGGTTAGTTTTAGTGTCGACCAACCCATTTTATCGTGTTTCGTGCATTTTTATTCTCGTATTGTGTTTTTGTGGTTCGACGTACTTTTCTTGTCTTTTTGGTGTTGTTTAGGTCCACATTATTCAATCTTGGGAAGACGAGCCATTTCCGAGACATTTTCGAGTCGTCCGAACCATGTTCGAGCCACACGGGTCATTTTCGAGCCATTTCGAGCATATTATTAATTGCGTGGTGATATCAATTTGCGCATCTCAAGACGAGGAGAACGAGATTTGGAAAGCGTGGGTCAAAGTTTCAAGTCAATCGGAGAAGCGTGCGAGAAGTTAGAGCGAATCGAGCATCAAGAGGTCACGGGACCATTTCCAGCCCGTGAAAACGAATTCGCACCCGTGAAACGCTCCTAACTCGCGAGTTTCCCTACCAGCCACACCATGCTTGCCCGCGAGTTCAAGACTCGTGCCCGCGAAATGGGCCTATCCCGCAAGTTCCCAGCATGTTGCCTCTCTAGTGCTCGCGAATTCACCGCTCGCGCCCGCGGAGAAGGCCTATCCCGCGAGTCCATGCTTCAGCGCCCGCATGCTGCCCCCCGAGTTTCTTCTTCTGCACGCACGAAACATACCTAGGCCGCGAGTTTCCGGACGTGCCCCAAGCCACACTCGCGAGCTACTCCTTGCCCGCGAAAATCCGACCTTTTGCTCGCGAGTTCCCACTAACTATCATGCGAGTTTTTCTTCATTAAATGTGTGTGTTTTAGTGTGTATTTGTGGTGTAGCTATAAATTGACATCTTCTTTTTTAATTTTGAGGATTCCTCATTTGCTAAATTTTTCTCTTCTTAGTTTTTCTCTCCCTTCTCTCTAACTTTGTTTCTCTCTCTAAGGGCTCCAAGACCCTATTTTTAATTGTAATATTTCTCCATCAAGATTACAATTTTTCGGCTTATTTATTCTCGTGGATGCATTAGAGACGTGGAGACTTCGCTTAAGGTTCACGATTTCGTTAGTCTTGCCCGTCTATACTTATTGAGTTATTCTAGGGTTAAGATAGGCACACCCATGAGTCTATTATGCTATCATCCTCGTAGGCTAGGGATTATGTGATATTGTTATTGATTGCGTGAGCGAGAATTGATTGAGAGATTAATTGATCACGAGTGACTATTGCTTCATCGCATGTTCCCGAACCTATGAGTGGCTTCTTTCCATCTCGGGTCTAGGAGTACCTTGTTATTTCTCTTTTTATTTTCCTTTTTTCTTGCAAATTGAGGTGTTGCTTGCGATTAACTTTGAATCTTGCTCTCGTCTTAGCTTAAATTGCGTTCTT